GAGAGAGAGAGAGAGAGAGAGAGAGAGAGAGAGAGAGAGAGAGAGAGAGAGAGAGAGAGAGCAGTCAGCAGGACAGAGCTGAGCTAGGAGAGGCTCCCAGCAGCTTTGCCCTCTGACTTGATATTTACCAGACCTGGCCAGCATGGTTGTCCTGAATCCAATGACTTTGGGAATTTATCTCCAACTCTTCTTCTGCTCCATCATGTCTCAGCCAACTTTCATCAACAGTGTCGTCCCAATCTCAGCAGGTAACTGACGACTTTCCTCACTTCTGTTTGGCAGGGGCAGAAGGGGTGTGTGTGGGGAGGGGGGGACTCAAGATTGTCTTGCAATATGTCCTGATCTTTTTGCCATTCTGCTCTTAGCAGAGGAAGGCTCTGGGGCGATGGTCCCCCAAGGTGCTTTCTGTCACCCGAGCTTGTCTCCAAAGGCCCTTCTGTCCTTGTTCCAACCGTCACTACTCAGCTGCTCAAAGCCAGACTCTAAGCCGATGCTTCTGTGTCCCTGTCCCTGCTGTCCATTTACTGTATGAATCGTTTTGGTCAGGGAATTGGGAGCTGGGGACAGAGAAGTATAAGTTCTAGAGAAGTGAGTCCTTGGTGTTTCTATAAGTCTGTCTCTGACCTCCTCCCTGTGGGGCTTACCTCAGGATGCTGTGAAGCAAATATCTCTCTGTCAACCTTGCTGAAGGGCAGGAGATTCTGCCTGGCCACTGTCAGCGGGCTTGTTGTCTCCTCAGCCCTGGCTGCTCTCCTGTTGGGCTTTCTTCTCTTCAGCTCTGACAACCTATCCAGAGGTGCTAGGACTGGGGAGGGTTTCCAGAGGGTCAGTGGATCTAGAGTCAGATGTCTTGCTGAGTGCAAGGCTGGGTGACTGAAGAAGGCTTGCTTGATGGCCAGCCAGGCGACATTTTCTGCAGGCACCACCAGGCTGGTGCCCTTGTCCTGCCTGACCTGGTACAGAGGAAGTATTGGGTTACAGGCATAGCCTTTTCAAACCTTTCTGAGGGAATTTGAATATCTCCGGAGGGCCTGAGGAAGCAAGCAGACTCCGGGACTTGCTGCTTCCTCCACACCCTCCTCAGTTCTTCTCTGCCGCTGCTCTAAGGCACCCTTAGTCCTTATTTTCTGAGCACCAAGGTTGATTCTGTGTCTTTGCCTATGAAACACACAGAGAACATTCCTCTGGACTCTCCACCCACCTCTCTCCATTCATAAAAACAGCTCATGGGCAAGCCATGCTGCCAAACTGCAGGCCCTAAGGGAGTGACAGGGAGATTGCCTCAAGGCTAATTATAAAAGTGTGAGAAACAGAAGAAGCAGGGAAGAGAGACAAAGAAAAGAGGGCCGGAGAGAATACGAGGGAGGCAGAAGAAGCAGGTGGTTGTATCAGCAGGAGTGTGTGTCAGCAGCGTCTCTCACCTAGTCTGTGGATCATTATTTTCTGATCCACTGGGAAGTTTGGTAGCGGAGCATGGTGCCTCCCCACCCTCACCCCCACCCCCACCCCCACCCCCACCCCCACCCCCACCCCTGACCTGGGACTGCTCTTGGGAAGTTCAGGCAGAAGGATGTTGTGTTCAAGACTGGCCTGGGGTTACATAGTGAGACCCTTTTCAAAAATCCCAAGAGGACTTGGTAGCTAATTTGGTCTGACCTAGTGTTTGCTTCTGTTATATTCGGGTTATAGATTTCTTTAGGAATCTGCTGAGGACTTAAAAGAATTAGGAAAACTGCTTCTCTGGTTTCAGCTCTGCCTCTGATGAGCTGTCTGACTTCTGGGAGACCATTGGGTATAGACCATGCACCATGGGGGCAGGGACCGTGTCATCTGGTGTGTCCGTAACTATAGATGTGTCCAGTGTTGGACAGTGCTGGATCTTTATATGTTCAGTAGCTATTTGTTGAGTGAAAGAACAACAACAACAACAAAAAACCCTTTGCATCTGTAGATTGGGGGCGGTCATCCCCATTTTTTAATTATTTAATTTATGCAAAGCCAAAGTCACTAAGGCCTTCATAATGCCAGACAGAAAAGAACCTGCAATTTCTTTGCCCTGCTCACTAAGGAAAGAACCTGCACAATGTAGACCTCTCTTAGATAAGGGGTTTTGAAGGTTGTTCTGGTCAGAGCACCACAGTGACAAAATGCAGCTTAGATGTGGCCAATGTAAAGACTTGAATGAAGGGCTGGCTCAATTTCAGGGGCGCAGGGTCAAGGACACCTGCAATGTCGAAGGACACAGGGATTTGTGACTGAAGAAATCTTTACCCCTCTGAGCTTGAGAAGGCAGGAGAGGGAAGCAGGGAAATTAGATCCCATGAGCCTTGGTGGCTTGCAGGAGCGGGCTGCAAGCATAAGTGATGTCACACAGGGACCCAGAGCAGGGAAGAGGGAACTCTCCCACCTCTCTCCTCCCAGCCCAAACACCTTTTGCAGAGCCTCCCACTGGCCAAACCCAACCCCAAGCCAAAGTCTAGTAGTATGGCGCTCCTTGATGCAGACGGTGGGACCGATGTGTCAGGCACAGGTACAGAAGCTTCCTCTTCATGGGGCTTGGGCCTTGAACAAGCCATGCAAGCACTTTGCCACTGAGCTACACCCCAGCCACACAAGGCCCTCTAGATGTGTTGCTAACCCTGGATCTGATGATTGGGAATGTAGGCTTTGGGCGTTTGACCAAACAGTGGGTCAACCAGAGAAACCATTACCAGTCCAGCACGAGTATCTGGGGTCTCCTGTGGGAGTCGCTTCACTTTGTCCTCCTCATTTAGTTGCCATGGCTGTCAAAAGCATCATCTGGAATGAATTCAGGCCTTGCAATGAAGCTGTTGCCTGAGTCAGGACAATAGGGGTCCTTTAAAATTCTTACCGACAATCTGAGTCCATCTGACCTCCTCTATTCTAAGCTTTGTGGATTCTCACCATTTTGAAGGTGAGCCGTGCAGATGCTGGAACTCAGCCACCAGGAAGACCATTTCCTGCAGCACACTGGGCCTCAGGAGAGTCTGCTGTGTGCCTGACGGGGTATAAAATGCTTCAGGGTTTCACCGGGGCCAGTAGGATGCAGCCAGTGTTCAAGAGGATTGTGTTGAAGCGCTGGCTCCGAGTCCTCCAGGACTGTGGCATAGGAAGGTCTCTCCCAGGCCTGCAGGAAGAGCTTGCCCACATGAGGGGTGGGAAAAACATGGGATAGGGAAACAGTGGGGGGACAGATGGGAGATGACCCTTCCCTTTCTTCAAGAAAGACCCCACTCCTGAGCCGCCCAAAGCCCCAACTCTCTGAATCAGGTATACATTACTTGACAGCCTCTAGGGTGACAGAAGAGAATCTGGCAGGGAGCAGAAAACACCAAAGAGGCCAAACTTGTCATGTATTATGATGTAATCAGTCCTAGCACTTAAATTCAGGCGTTTGACAGATTGTTACCTCAGGCTATCTCAGCTCTCATCCCAGGCTGTTAACTTTGAACATCACTCTTCCAGGCTCACATGCTGCTTACAATAGATGCAATGACAACAGATAGATAGATAGATAGATAGATAGATAGATAGATAGATAGATAGACAGATTTTATTTATTAATGTGGTAGTAAGGGGTGCATATGAGGTCAGATGACAACTTACAGGAGTTGCTTCTCTCCTTCCATCATGCAGGTCCAAGGATGGAACATAGTTCATCAGACTTAGTTGCAGGTGCTGAGTGTAACGGTGCACCCCTGTGACCCAGCCTTCTGGTGACCTGGGGCAGGAGAAGCTCAAGTTTGAGACTACTTGTAAATAACAGGACGGAAAGAAAAATGGTAAAGAACTGGGGAATGATTTTGAGACCACAAAGAGTGGTTGAGGGGGTGAGACATACGACCCTTGCGGTTGACCCTGCCTGCCATGTAGGAACTGGTTCTTACCACAGTGATCACGAATGTTCCAGTGAACACTGAAGAACAGTTGAGCTTCCAAAGGCAGCAAAGTGACAGATACAACTCAGAACGGTGTCTGTTAAAAGTGCCAGAGGCTTGGAGTGCATTGCCTTAGCCATTTGCTGGGTAATAAACTTAACCCTCCAATGCTTAAAACTAGCATCATTTATTGCTGAGGTTCATGTTTTGTGGGTCACCTAAAGGTCGTCTCATCTGGCATGCTATGGGCTGACCCTGGCTATGCTCTGTCTGGGTCTATAGTGTCCACTTACGGGTAGAGTTCAATAGTTGTGGCTTCTAGAAGGATGAGGCATAGACCTGCAGACAATGTTTCTGGACGAACAGACCTCCCGTAAGATGTATGTGATAGCCAGGCAATGGTGGTGCACGCCTTTAATCCCAGCACTTGGGAGGCAAAGGCAAGAGGATTTCTGAGTTCAAGGCCAGCCTGGTCTACAGAGTGAGTTCCAGGACAGCCAGGGCTACACAGAGAAACCCTGTCTCGAAAACAAAACAAAACAAAACAAAACAAAACAAAACAAAACAAATGTATGTGATAATCATGCCTAGGGTGAGGGTGGAACAACACTCTTGCTTCTTTGAAAAAGATACTTAGGCACAGAGAGGTTAGTTAGATAACTCACCCAAGGCCACACAGCTGGGTTGTGGGCGATCTGGAGATGGAATCCTGCCTCTAAGTCTAAGGCTTCTATCAGTGTAGACCGAATCTGCCTCAGGACTAGATAAATGTGCAAGTGGCCTTTTCAGTACTGCAAGGCTGCCCTCCGTCCATGGAAATGCTCCTCTATACTCTTCATCGTTGCTTCCCTCCTACCTTGTCCTCAAGTGCTCAGTCTCCCAAGTTCCAACAAACAAGTGAATACTGATTTAGGTGGTTGTTACTGTTGTTGGCTTTTGATCTCCTTATATTGTCCACATGGTCTTGAACTCACTACATAGGTCAGAGTGGACTAGGTCTCAGTCACCAGGCTATCTTAGACAGACACACACCCCATCTCAGCTTGACATTGCTTTATAGATGTGTGCGTGACTTGCCCAGCCACTGATCTCTCTGATATTTTTATGTTGGTGGGAACCTAAAAAAACAGAGTGAGTCAGGGTGTTTGGAGGATGGGAATCTCCTTGTAACCAAGGCAACTTACACAAACCTTTTCAGGCCTGTGAGCCATCCTACTCTCTGCCTACATGGACATATGCTCCTCTTCCACAAAGGGTTTCCCAGCCAGGCAGGAAGGCAAGCAGGAACTCTCCAGGGCAATTGTGGATCCAAATTTCAGAATCCAGATCAGGAAAAGACACAAATCCAG